ATAAGCATATATATATATATATATATATATATATGGGTATCCATAGGTATTTGTTAATATATTTTAAAATATTAAATTTTAAACAAAAAGTTAAAAAAAAACTAAAAGTATATATTTTTTAAACATGTATTTATATTAGAAATAAATTAAAGTAATTTACTTTATATATAATTAAATATGCTTAAAGAATTCTAAAGTATGGATACATGCAGATACAAGTACTTTACTACTCGTCTCTACATTAATAATAAACAAATATTTGTTTAACTATCTGTTTGATATTTATAATGGGTTTTACCTACAAGTATTTGCATGTACAAATTCTCTCGTCATCCTTAATGACAACAATAGAATAGTTACAAGGTTCAATTCCAATAAAAAATGAAGAACTTTCATACAATCACCACTAAATAGGACAAAGTAAGATAAAGTTAATCTATAATATTAAAATGAGGTTACTAGTTGTCTTTTTTTGTGGTAAGGACAACAAATATGATGGAATATGACTTACATGGGTCGATGATAAAGGTGGAATGTGGTGGTAATTTTTGGTCATACTACTTCAAAATTGCACCCATTTAAAGGTGATATTCCTCCCAATGTAGTTGTTAGTCCAATTAGTGGTGCTGAAGCTAATGACTAGTAAAAATAGTGAAAATAAAGCCAACAATTTTTAAAGATCTAATACCTACTAAAAAAGAAAATAACATAGAAAACAACAACTAAATATTATTTGGTATGTTTGCAATACAATCACTAATCCCTTTTTTAATTATAAAGTAAACTTATAAAAGGAAATGAGAAAAATCTAAATACACTAAGAGAAACAAAGGAGTTAGTAAAAAAATAAAATATATCGAAATAATTAAAAATAAAAAATAAAAATTCTATTTTATTTTCAAAATTATCAAACAATTTTTTCTATATTAGTGATTTAATATATCAATAAAAAAAGATTAAAATATTTTTAAAAAATCTCGTACATGCATAAATTTTAATACAATTAGATGAAAGCTAAATTTAATTTAAATACATCAATAGTGTAAAAAAAAATATTATCATTTAATCATATATTGTCATGTCTAATATAATTATTGACTAGGAAATTAAATGTCATATTCATTGAGATTTCTAATTAGATAAAAGTATAAAATGTCTTTCCATACATTGAACAAAAACTAAAATTTAAAAATATTAACATAAAAGTCATGAACATAAGTAGTTAATCATTATGATATTTTCTTTCGGTACATGAGATATTATTTTGTATAAACACTCAAAAATTGATAATCAATTTTCCTTGATTGGGAAATAAAAAAAAATAAAAAAAATAAAAAAGGAAACATGAGAGGAAAAATATACATATGTTTCCAGATGCAAATTCTATTCCGTTTACAAGAATGAAATTGGGTCTGACATCGACAGAGCATAAGGAATAATAAAGAAAGATTACCAATAAGATATTGCATGTTGTAGTGTGAACCATTGTCCCTTCCTTCCACTCCTTTACTATGTGTTTCGTTTCCTGTCTCCATGCTTTGGGATCGTTGCCATTAATGAGGAGGCTAAAGTTCAGTATTTTCATGAGTCTATATCAATATATTTCTCCCCAACCTTCCCAGGCATGCTCTTTATTCTCCTAATTTTGCTTATTGATATTATACTTTTCAATATATTATTACTCTAACGATTTCATGATCATGTTATATAAGTAATTTTTTTCACCTTGGTTTTTTGTTTGTGTTTGAATCTATGGTTTGGATGTTTGATTATTTCAATGATTGGGGGGTATCTAAGGATATAAGATTTTCTTTTTCTTTTTCATTTCCCATTTTAATTGTTTAATTTTGTTTTCTTTTACTAAAAAGAAAAAAAATTAAGCCTCTATTCTTTTTTTTTTTCCAATTTCCTTTATCTTGTTTAGAATAATGAGATTGAATATATTTTGGGTATATATGAATTGTATACCTATGTCATATGTTCCTTAGGTGATGTTAATTTTTTTTCCTTTGATCATATGGTTGTGAAGAGAGTTCATACATGAAACTAATGAAAAGTTTCTTGTATTCTTCTTCATCATGGCATTGTAACAGTTTACCTATGCAAACAATTTCTTCATCTGGTATTGTTTAATTCATTAGTTTGTTGTTTCTAATAGAGAACTTCCACACCTCCTCCTCCTCCCCTACTAATCTTCCTTGTTATCTAACTAATATAAGTTTCCTCAAATTACTCATGTTGCAACTTAATTTTGAACTTTTAAAATTTAATAGTACATGTGTTGTACTCAATTTATGGTTTGCATGATTGAAACATTGTGACTAATAGGTTATTATCATTTGATCAACATTTGTTATTGAATTTCCTTCTTCTTTTTATTTTATTTTCAAGGCTTTATTAATAAAAGTGAATCAAATGGAGAATGGTCGAATTAAAAGAAGTAGACGTAGATCAAACAAAAATATTCAAATAGATAACTGCTTTTTGATTTAGTACATTAGTTGCCCAATGGTCTTTGTTGTTATTGGTAATTGTTCTAATTTGTTATTATTTTAATTATTAGATTTCAGTTTCCCCTCTTTTCAGCCTTTTGAATTTGAAATGGAAGAAAAGTCCAGATCATGCAGTGGGTGTGACACATGGTACTCATTCTCATTGTTTGTGCATATTGAACAAGTGGCACGACAGCGGGTTTGGGGATTAATGACTTTACTAATAAAACCTATAGGCAAAAGGGAACCCGTAAGTGCTCTTCTAAGATAACATTTCAGTTCTCTGCTTTGTTGAATATCACATGCAATTGCGGGAAAAAAACAAGTTGTGAGGTACGTATCGTCTATTTGATCTTCAAATCACTACTCATTTTTTTGGGAATGTATAAAGTTAGGCCCCTTTTAATTTTAGGGATTTTGGTTCTTGCAAAGATGTTGAATTTCTTTTAATTGTGAGAAATGCCCAAACTTGCAAACGATTTAGTGACATTGCCAAAGGTTTAACCAATTTTGATGATGATAGATTTTTAAATCAACTTGAGAAACATTTAAGAACCAAAAATCCATGGTGAAGCATCTTAGGTATCATATCTGAGATTGAAAATTTAGGGATCGAAAATAAAATTGGTGATCTAGATAGGAAGAAATCATCTTATAAATTGATGTTGAATGATAATTTTCAATGGTTGGTGCTAGTCATTATCATAAGGCTAATTGCAATCGTCGTGATTCTCAAAACTTGGTTGAAGAATCTTCAATAATAAGAGTAGTTGTTCCTAACAAATCAATTCAATTGAATTTTTTTTCATTAAAAGATTTCTATGATAGCCCTATCTTAGTGAATATGCATAAATTTGAAATTTCCTAATTGTGATATAGATTTCTTTGGTGAATTTTTCTATCAATAAAAATGATTCCCTTTATTTACTTTAGGGAGCACCTTCCTAGCTCCCAAGCAAACAAAAGGAGTCACCATTAGCAAAAACAACACTATCCAGGTTAGATTCTTAGAAAAATGAGGTTGATAGTAGTGGTATTATATTTAAGATTCGTATTTGAGTTGTATTGAAACATTATTCATACTACAATAAGCATCTCTAAAAATTATTATTGTGATTAAGAACATAGGTGTGCAAGAATCTTTTCAAATTGAGTTGGAGAATCATAGAGGTGACTCAGACATGATAGAAGAAGAGGTATGTGATATCTTCTTTTATCTAATTCAATCTATCCACAAATAATTGTAAATTTTGTGGATTAAAAGTATTTGTTTTGACGTCACTTGAGATGGATAATAGATTTCTGAATTGTTTGAGGAAATTCTCATCATGATACATTACATATACATAATTACAATGTGCATACTAGGAAAATAAGGAAACTAGGAAATTAGGAAGGCATTACAAGTTAAAGCCTAATTATTTACAAAATATATGCAACCAAATATACAAGTCTCTAAACAGAACATGTTTTATTTCCCTTAAATAGAAAATACTTTTTGACAATCCCCCTCAAGTTAGATCATATAACTCATATGTACCAAACTTGTTGCAGTTTTTTAAAAGACATTGTAAAGATCTTACAAGTGGATCACTAGGATTAATAAACTTACTAGAGATTTCCTTGGAGAGACTCTCTTCCTGATATAGTGACACTCAATTTCTTTATGCTCGACTCACTTAAGGAAAATTGAATGTGGCATAATATTGTAAGGATTTGATTATAATAAATTAGATTATATGATCAACATTTCCTAATTTTAACTCGCAAAGTGGCTATTTTGCCTATACATGTTCACAAGTGACCATTGCTCTATATTGAACATCTATAGTGGACCAAGTCATATTTTGCTTCTTACTTTTCTAGGACACAAGGTTACTGCTAACAAAAATAAGGTATTTTTTTTCTTGGTGAGTTAACAAAAACATGGTATTTTGATGAAAACTATCATTCAATTGGAAAAATAACCCAATTTGAATCAAATTAACCCACAATTTGAGTGTTTCTTTTGTCTTTGTATAAAAATCCTTAATTCAAAATATTGGTAGTGTACTGCAATACTTGAACTAAAGTATTTTGTTGAGATCCCACACACTCACTCACTTACTCTCTTTGTCTTTCTCTCTTTCTCTCTCTCTCTATATATGTGTGTGTGTATGCATGTGGTCAAAATAAAGCTCAGATAATTCTTACCTCAAGCTAGCTTTGGGAGTTAATTTAACCCAACTCAAAATCAATATGGAACTAAAGCCTATCATAGATATGATTTGGGTAACTTCAACTATCCAAAAATGAACTTACTCCCTCCTTCTACATTTCTCAATCCACATTAGTGATTAATCCACTAAGGTGTATTTGGGAACTCAATAATATCAATTAGCAAAAGTCTCTTGGTTTCATAGTTAGAGACTAATTAAAGTTTACACCCAACAACTTACAATATTGTAGGAGACACAATATTTGAACCTTATATTGTATTGCATTTCCAAATTCAAAGGAAACATTATTTTACTTATGGCTATCATAAAATTGATGCAATTGTTCTTAATTGAAGGTTGGGGGAGAAATCAAGTTATTTGAAACCTCGGTAGTAGTTGATGATTTGCATCAATGAGTTTTTTATGTGAATTGTAAGCTAAGGAGGAATATTATAAGCTAATAGTCAGATTTTGTACTTCAATAATAATAAACGGGTCATATCCAAAATGAACAGGTTGTACATAAAGAAATACATGGACATATACATGAAATAAAATGTGAAAAATTAAGGTATAAAACAAATAGCATACCCAAGTATGGATGAGTTAAGTATTAGAACCATGTGGTGCACGTAGCATTTGGAATGAATTTGCAATGTGTATTGAAATATTTGTTTATTTTAATAGTAAGATTAAGTTGCTTTGTTGCAAGTTTTCATTGTTGACAACTTAGATCATCTATGGCCTTCTCCCTCTTTGTTGTTCCCCTAATAGATCTTGTTGTAGTACTAAATTCTATATTATTTAGTTTTTATTCTCTTTAAAGCTATCACTTGGGGTATGTGATGGATCTTTAACATTACCCTTTTTTTCTTTCTCTATTATACATTGTACTTTATTAATCACCCAATACAAAATTTCTCTATAGAAGAAATTGGGTTTTCTACATAATCATTTCCATCCTATTGCAACATGTTATGCTATTTTAGTGTTTGAAATTCTATCTATGAATCTTTATTTTTCCTTTTGATCTTTTTCCATGACTGCATACCTCAATTTCAAGTTTTATCGATAACAATTTCTTGTGTATTAACTATTAACATAATGTAGTAAGTTTTACTATTGGCATTATAATATGTTTACGAGATACAAATGCCACATATTTATTTTTCTTAGTTTTTGTTTCACATGAATTTATATATCTTTTTTGGCTTTCACTTTGATGACAGGTTATAGCTTGTGATGTCTGTGGAGATGTAGGACTAGAAAAGTTCCTTGCTATATGTAGCAAGTGTACCGATGGGGCACAACACACGTAAATATCTAATATCTTTATCATTGTTGTTTTGTTTTGGTAGCTTCTTGTTTTATGGGGTAAGTGAAATAATATGGTTTTGTTTTTCATTCATCAACCAGTTATTGTATGCGTGATATACTGCACAAAGTTCCTGATGGTTGGATGTGTGAAGAGTGCACAATGTCAGAATGCAAAAAATCTAAAAGTTTAGTAAATTTTGAATCTTCAAGTAATTCAAAATTAAAATACTCATATGCTAGGAAAAGGCAAACAGGAGGTATAAGTTCTAAATCTCATTACTATCAAGTATTGATATTTTAATCTGCTTCACGTATTCATATCTAATACATATTCAAAACTTAATTTTTTTTTAATGAAAATCCAAAAAAAAAATGCATGAGAGATATAAGCATGTATAATATAAAAATTTTAGACACATAGTAACTTGATGGACACAAAGGAAATTGTCCTCTTTAAAAGGATTTCAACAAAAGAATGAGACTGACAATATTATTCCTATTTATAAATAATAGTCATTTGTGATGATAATGATTTATAAATTTTGTTTTTATTATTTTTTAAGTTAGATGTTTCTACTAAGAAAAACTCAAGTCTCTCGTTATGCTAGTTATAAATATAACCAAAATAGAACATATAAGTATAGGTCACTCTTATTTTATGAGCTAGTTTTGTAGAATTAAGTTTGACTCAAATTTACATTGTAAAATAGTATCAAAGTCTATCCTAAATTCATTAAGAGAAAGGAGCACCCACCATGCTACTCACACACCAAACCTAATAGTATTGGATGTGACAGAGTGTATTAAAAAATATCAGTCTCATATTATATGACCCAAATAAAGTATATAAAGAAAGGACAACTCTTACCTTAGAAATTGATTTTATAGAATTAAATTAAGTTTAAATTTGTGTTAAAAGAGTTTTCTTGTAGGCTTTGAGAAGTTAGGATTGTCCAAAATTGCTAACATAAATAAAAAGGAAATAAAAGGGAAATATGTATCATTGATACATATTGAAAATGGTGTTGCAGCTACAAAAGGTGAAAAAAAAAAACTATTTCTCCTAATAAAACTTTGATTTCAGGATCCAAATGTTGTAAACTTGATGCTGTTCAAAGAGTTAGAGAATGCCAGAGTGATAATTTGGCAAACACACTAACATCAAATTCTCAAAAGGTATTGACATGCATGAATGTATTTGACCGCAAACATATGATAATTATCTTCCTTTTCCATCATTTGTTGAGAAAATTGATCGAAAGTTAATTATACTTGAAAATACTAGACAATTCAATTTTTTTTTACAATTTTATTAAATTATGATTTATATGTTGATAAGTGACGATGACATTAGTATCTTATAAGTTAACTAGGTATAATTGAATATACTATTTCACAAATATTATTACATAATCAGTCAATTTATCAATCTTGAATGAAAAAAAAAATCATTTGTTGCTAGCTTTGAGAGTACGTTATAGAAGAATTTGTATATATTTGTACATGGGATAAGCCTATTCACTACGTAATGTAATAATATAGCACTAATACATGATTACTTTATTGTAGCAAGAAAATGGAGATACTATGAGGAGTTTGGCATTGGATCTCAATGCTAATCCTGAAGATGGAAGCAACATAGTTGAAGTTCATGAAGTTGGTGAATTTGATGGTACAAGTTCTTCATGTGAAAAAATTTTTCTTGACGGAAAAGTGGCAACAACAGAGTCTGTTGTAGATCTAAATATTCCAATGTGGCCTAAAGGTGCAACACCAAAAGAGTGCCCCTCACTATCTATTGAGAATGTGGGTGACAAACCTATCAATGATGTGAAAGGCAAGATGTCAATGGAAGAAAATAACAATACTGACAATGTTAAGTTGCATGGCAAGCTTCTAATGGATGAGAAAAGTGATGTTGAGAGACTTGGATCCTCTAAACAACTCTCTTTTCCATTTGTTCCACCTATAAGTTATAAAGAAACTCTAGACCAACTTGATTGGCAAGTTGTGGAAGCTTTGATCTCTCTTTCCAAAGGAGTGGGTAAAATTTAGGCTTTCAATGGTACTATGTCAATAGCTCTTGAACATGTTGTGTACACTTGCTCACTGTGATGTTTCTTTCTCTTTCTCTTTCTCTCTGTCTCTCTCTCTATAGTACATACTCCATAGAACATTCGACTATAAGATGGAGCATGGCTTGTTTGTGACTTTGCGTTTCCTATTTGTTTTGGTCCACATGATTTCCCCTCTTGAGATATTTTTCATCATAAACATTTATTGCAAAAATGTTTAAATGAGTCTACTCACAATTATATTAGTTGCTAATTAGTTTGTTTATTTTACAAAAAAATATTAGTTAAACTTGTAGATTTGGCTAAGGTAAAATATGTGTTCATCTTAGTGAAGGTCAAACCACTCGCCAATTGGCATGCAATTAGCATGCTATTAGATTATCTAAGAATATTGATTTTGATTTCTCTTGATGTACAAGTGATAGGGAAGTGCATGTAGTATTCTCCATAGATGAGTGTGAAAGTTGTTATAATATTAATTGGTTATAGATCTATAAATAAGGAGCCAGATAATTGAATATATACATATTAACTCGTGTGATAGGAATGAAGGTAAGATTAACATATTTAGGATTTTTTTTCTTTTGCTGGTGCATGGATTTGTTTCTCTCTTTGTGTTGGTATTACTATTGTAATATGGAAATCAAACCATTTCCCTATCATTAATGTCAAAAATGAAAATGTTTTTCTAGACACATGCAACAAAAAAAAAGACCTCTCCAACACTTTTTAAAGATTATTTTCTTATTTTAATAAATAAAAAAAATAAAAAATTTGCTTGATTCATTGGAGGAGGTAAAGGATCCCCGGGGCCATGTTGTATGGAGAGATTTTCCAAGTTAGTAGTAGAGCTTTCATGGGTGGTTTTGCTGCTTATATTAGTGTCAAGACTACTTTTTGTTCTGAACTTGTAACTATCATGTTGGCAATAAAGCATGCGCATGAAGTGGGGTGGTGCAACCTTTGGCTAGAGTGTTATTCAAACATTGTCCTTGATGCATTGGTGAAGGCTCCCAAATAAGCAAGAGATAGAAGAAATCTTTACAAGTTTGCTCCCAAATTAGGTTCTTTTCATCTCACATTTTTAGGGAAGGAAATCAGTATAAAGAGAAACTTGTGGGCTATGAGATGGAAAACATAGTTGATTTATATAATGGGATGTTTTATCCCCTTTTATTAGAGAGGATCTGTTTTGCAATCATTGTGTGTGACCTTCATTCTGTTTATGTTAATTTCATTCCAAGAGTTTAGGTCTAGTCTTTGCATGCTTACTTGTTTACTATTTTTCTTTTTCTAATAAAATATGCTGCAAATAATTGGTAGGCATTGAAGTGCTCATATTATTGGAACTCAATGCTCTACAATGATGCCATACATGTCCTAGCCTTTACATATATAAAAAATAAAAAATAAAAAAAAAGTCTTGCAGATAAGTATTTGACAAGTGTCTCTAAATAATCGGTGTCTAGAAAATGGAACCATATGAGAAATGATATTTACACCTTTATTTATTAAAAGTACATTTTTAAAATAAAATTTTGAAAGTACTTTTAAAATTTTTCTTTTTGTAATTGATTTTTCTTGAAAATGTTCTTTTTCTTTTATTTCCTTATTCCCCTACCACCTTATTTTTCCTTTCTTAACCTCATTTTCTTCACTTTCTCCACTGGCATTTAACTATGATAATTTCTTTTTATTTTTCTATGACACCATATATCCCTCATGCATAAATTCAATAATGTAAAAGTAGTAGTTTGAAAAATACTTCATTAACTAACAAAAAAATTAGAGTTAAAGGTATCACATTACAACTTAATAAAATTTGAACTGAAAGCAACTACAAAGAATACTAACTAAAGTTGAATATCTGAAAAGAAACTAAATCCCTAAGCAATGATTAAAAAAAAAAAAAGCAATTCATAACTAAAGTTGCGATGTCACATCTTATCAAAGCGGTCCCAACATAAGTTCAATACTCCTCCATAATTTAAATTCACCTATTCAATCACAACACAACAAAATCACAAAAGAGAAATGGGAGAAAAACAAACATCTCACTTAGTTACTGGTTTAGGAAATTGTTGGGTAGCCACACAAACATAACAATAATTACAAAATTAAAATAACAACAATTATCATAATTAATCACATTTATAATTCTCAATAGTCCAGGCATACTAGATCTCATACTTAAATCACAAGATACAACAAGGTTTATTTCACACATCTCAATATCAATCAACTACGTCATTAAAAAAAATAGGTATTTTATGCTCATGCAATAGACCAGACTCTCCTAAAGCTACATGCATGTGGCACCGATAAAATCACTTTATTCCTACCCAAAGGTTTAGTAGCATAGGAGTTCATGTCGGATAGCCATCACAACACTCTACACTAGGAGAAAATACATCGGTAGTGTGTCAAGACAACAATGTTGCTCAAGTTTTACCCCATGCACACAAGCAAGCAAGATTGAGGCTTCCAAACCTAGTTATCTCCAAGGTCATGAATCCCCAAATTTTTATACAAAAGGGACCTTCCTTAGAAGTGTATTTCACATTGTATCCATCACAAAAACATTTAATGCATATGATGCATGTCAAACAAATCACTACAAGAAAATGACGATTTTGCGACGGTTATATGACCTACATTGCGACGGTTAGAACTGTCACAAAGACAACATTGCGAAGGTTTGGGAACCGTCGCAGAATTGTCCGTCACCAGGAAATTTTGCGATGGTTATCAGAATCGTTGCACAAACCGTCGCAAAATTGGAATTGCGACCCCTAAAACACCCGACGCACTAACTACCATGAAATATGAGTAATGGGACAAACTAAGAGACAAGTGCATATGTGAAGGTTAACAGTTTTCCCCACTTGAAATGAATTATATATCTCATATATATATAATATGGTACATGGTAGCTATATACAATAATATTATTTCTAAAGCATATATCCACCATCTTACAGTCCATTTTCTCCCCAACATGGACTGTAAGATGGCCCTTTGGCAAAGTACGTAAAACCACTTATGAATTTGTCTGGTTAGCTGCAAATAATGCCCTTTGGACACCTAGTAAAGGAAAACCCATTGTTGTTTAGTATGTGTTGGGACCTGAAAATAGAGATTTTGGAATTTCATATGCTTTAGGATGTGAACGATTTCTGTTGGTCCTTAATTGTTTTGATCATGCATATATAAGAAGGACGGCCATTAAATATGAGTAATGGGACAAACTAAGAGACAAGGGCATATGCTGTAGTCTTAGAGGACTTTCTAACGGATCAATATAACTGTTATCTCCTTTGGCAAGTGTACCAAATCGAATAAGTAGTTCAATGAAAGTATGAGTATCGTCTCCCAAGGGACTTGCGCAACACTTTGCAATTTCACTTGTTATACTAACTAAGCTACCAAAAAGCAATAAGAGTTTGATTTACTGTAGTAAATAATGTAAACAAGCAATAACAATTCTTTTTGGTATTTTGGTAAATACTTAGAGTGCAAAACTTGATTCTAATGTAATATTAATAAATTGTTGGGGTTTGACTTCACTAAACCTTCCTCTCATGCTTATCATTAAGTTCACAATAGTTATTATTCAGAATTTATCAATCACTCTCAAAAGTAACCAACCCTAATCTCTTACAAGTTGGCATCTAAGTTACTAGCTTAAACTATCAATCTCTTGCATAGTTTAACCTAGAAACCAGCTTTAAAAACAAGAGCTTAAGAAAGACCAATGGCATTTACTCTATCTCTAGCAATAAGCACCATTAGCTGCTCTATTTCAAGTCAAAGGTTTAAAATCATTTCTCAATCTCTTAAAAACCTTAAGTTCAAGTTAAGGGTGATCAAGCCATAACAAGCATTATGCACAGAAAAAGAGCAATAAAACTGAATAACAACTTAGATTGATAGCTTAGAGTTTACACATGAGAATGGGTTTAGTTACATCAAACCCCAACAAGGGTGAGTTTAGCTACACATAGACATGTAGAACTCTACAAATGATGAAGAAAGGAAGAAGCTTGATCTTGAAGGTTCCAGAGCTCTCCAGCCGCCACACAAAGTCCAAGAATGATCCTCCTTGCTTCTCTCCTCGAAAATCCCACTTTTAGGTCATAAAAGCTTTTGTCTTATGTGAATAATGACATGTCAGCACAATCCACGCTAAGCCTTAGTTCCACGCTCAGCGTGGGGATCAAAATTCTGTTCCAGGGATTCTCTGCCATGCTGAGGCTAAGCGTGGATCTGGGGCTTAGCCTGGGAACTTAACCAAAAATTCCTTCAACTTCAAATTCACCACTTTGTGCTTGACTTCCTTCCTTCTTTCCTAGCTTTCTCCTAAACTACAAAACAACAACCAAATACTTGTAAGTTACCTAAAAACATGATTCAAAAACAAAATGTGATCACCTAACAATTTAGATATGTTTTGAGTTAAAAACAAAGTCTAAAGCAAGGAAAATTGATATAAGTGCTTCAAACTAGGCCATAAACTTAATGAAATCATAGCACTTATCAATACCCCAAACTTAAGATCTTGCTTGTCCTCAAGCAAAGAAAAATGAATCAACTAAGTTAACACACAACCTAATCTCCTAATTGAACACGATTTGAAAACTGGTAATCACACAAAACAGCCATACATGTCTTCCAATAGTTGAACACCAGAAAATGTTTACACTTGATCAGCCAATTAATGTGGTGCCCACACAATTTGATATCAGAAGTGTATTGCAACAGTTCCCAAAAGGATTAACAAGCATGGCAATGATACTAATGAAAATTAGTGAACAACCTCTTCCTCACGGTCTGGAGTACAAAAGTGAGAAAGAGGGAAAGTTAGAAGTCACTTTGAACATCAGCACTTTGAGAAAGAGGAAGAGAGAAAGTCATTCTCGTTTATACACAGGGCTACGACAATAAAATCGATACTAAAGATTCCTTCATCGTTGGATCGGGCTGAAAATTGACAAAAGGTTCGGGACATTTGGTTCTTCATTCTGAACGGTTAGATCGTTGAAACGAGGTTTAAGTAGGAAAATATTTAGTTCGCACTGTAACTGTGTATTTGGGATTTTTTCATCTTCTTTGTTCTCTATTTGTAAGCTTTATTGCTTTGTTGTTTGGCCGGGTGTTAGCACTATTTT